ATATATGTTCATTAAACTGTATTTATCAACAACAAGAATCACCAGCATCAAAATCAAAAAAGTATTATCAATTCAATTTACTATTATTAATATATCATTGATTTATCTTTTTCTAATGATTGTTCCCTAGAATTATTTGTGATAAGTGTGGCTTGCATTCTCAAGCACGTTATAAAACAATTCATGTTGGAACAACTTACAACTTCTGTAGTCAAAACTGTTTAAATTTATTTCAATCAGGGAAAAAGCAAAAATCCAAATCTAAATCTAAAAATGGTTTGTATAATTGTATAAATAAAATATTTTATACATAAATTATATTATAATACTTAACTACTAATATAAATTATTATATATATATATTCAAGGTGTAACAGAATAACTGGCAGATATAAAAACTTTTATGCTTACCAATCTAAAAAATTGTATTTTTAATTTATATATAATAGACTTTAATAATCGTTAAATATTTTTAAAAGAATACTAATATTAAATAGAACAAAATTTATTACGTATTACTTACATTTGTCAGATTTTTCTGTTACTTTTTATATACATTTAATAACTAAAATAATCAATTACTTACTATAGTTTTTAGTTTGTTTTTAATATAACATTGTATGCAATTGTAGGAAAAAAATCTTCAGCTTCACGAATATCTACTCGGCAGTCTGCACGCAAAGAAGATAATATTGATGTAAATGCAAATTATTCCAATTATTCATATATTTTTATTAGTTGTTACTCATAAATTATAAATACGTCTACACATATTTTGGTTTTCCAGAGTGATGAAGTAAATAATTCTCAACCAAAAACTCAAAAAGTTAAACAAAAAGTTGGTAGAAAAATAAGTTACAAAAATGAGGTATCCACAGTTGATAAAGAAGTGCAAACAGGTAGGATTTAATTTTTTGAAATTTATATCAATAAATCAATCAAATAAATCATTTATCAATATTATGTACCATTTATTTTAGATCAAACTGGTAGTAAAGGAGTAATAATTCCAATTCCAGTGCCAGTTTACATTCCAATGCCTATGCATATGTATGTAATGCCATATCCAGTACCAGTGCCATTCCCAATACCTTTACCGATTCCAATTTTTATACCTACAACTAAAAATACTTCCAAAGCAATTTTGAAGGATATAAAGGTAATTCAAAATTCTTGATCTTGTTCGAATTAATCTGTTTTTAGAAATTAGCTTATAATTTATGTCCAGACAAAGGAGTTTAAACCAAGCATTTACTAGTTTTTCAATGTTGTGTGGTTTTTTTTGTATGTGAAGACATTTTATAGCAGAAAAAATCGGTTATCTTCAATTATGAGGGTGGTTTCTAGCAGGAAATATGATCTAATTTGAAATTTGAGTGCGAAAAGCTATCAATTATCAATAATTTTTAAAATAATCGGAAAAAACAAATAAATCTGATAGTAGATACCCGCTTAAAAATAAAATATTTAAAGAAACTTTAAAAAACACATTTTTATTGTATTGTTTGTAACTTAAAAATAATAGTTGAATAAAAGGTCAAAAACTCTCTAACATTAGAGCTAACAACAAAAAAAAAATAGTGTGGAGGTCTTATAAAATTCTTAGATTTTTATAACCAGTTTTTAAGCTTTTAATTTCAGTTAGACTAATTATAAAAAAAAATAAAATTGTAGGTTTATAATTCTATTTCTAAAACCCGGTCAAAGCTCTGAATTAAATAAATTAATATTAATTTTTAATCTAAAGAAAATTAGAGAAGAAACGCCAGCTGATCCATTTGAAGCAGAACTGCTGTTGATGGCTGGCATGGTAGCTAACGATCTAAAACATGAAAATGTTTCATCGTCAGATAGTGAAAACGATGTATCGAATAATGGTAACAAAATTATCTTTTTTTGTAATTGTAATTTTTTAATGCAAACAATATTTATTAGAATACAATGATGACACAAAAGTTGTTTCATCAAGTGCTCGTAACACCAATTCTTTTGGAGATGATGTTCTCGCAATGGCCTTGAATATGGCAGGAGCAGATACAGAAAGTCTTGAAGGGACTGATGAGATATCTACCATGACATCAAATGATCAGACAAATCAAATTATTGATGATGTTGAAGCAAACTTAGTATCTTCTACAATTATGCCTCAAACACCTGATCCAATGGAAAGTAAGTTTCAAAACTAAAACAGCTACTAAAAAATTTTTATTTTAAAGTAAAATATTTATAATTTTTAAAGATATAACCCAAGAAAATATGATATCTTCCCCTCAAGATATGTTATGTCGACCTCCAAGAAAACGTGCACCTCGTTCACAATCTCGGCGTAACTCAAATTCAAAACGTTCTCGTAAAACTGAATATCCTCAAGCACAATGCATCCCACCAGGATTAATACATCAAGTTGTTCAAAATCCTTTATACACCATTCCAATGTCGGTAGTCAAACCTGATGCAAACATGTGTCTCAAGTATACATTAGGAGTTAATGCCTGGAGACAGTGGGCTTGTACGAAAAGTATAGAATTTGAGAAAACGTTATCAAGTTATGTGTGTGGTGTGAAAAAAACAAATATATTTAAATTGGACCTTCTGCAGTTAACAGCTTACGAACTAAATTATTGTCTGTGTTTGTTTGTGAAAGAGGTACGCAAACCAAATGGAAGTGAATATGCGCCAGACACAATTTATTATCTGTGTTTAGGCGTTCAGCAATATTTATTCGAAAATGGACGAATTGATAATATATTTACTGATATGTCTTTTGAAAAATTTACTGATACTTTAAATGAAATAGCTAAAAGATTCACTGAACTCTATAATGACACAAGTAATACATTTTGTTTATTGAACATAATATTTGTGTTTTAACAACTATTTGATTATAGAGTATATCATTACGCGTGTTGAAGAAGAGTATCTTTGGGAGAGTAAACAGCTTGGGGCACATTCTCCTTACGTATTGCTATGCACGTTGATATTTTTTAATACCAAACATTTTAATTTAACAGTGAGTATAGGATAATGTGTATTGTATAGTATTCATTTTTGGTTGAAATATTGTGTTTATTACTATTTAGAGCGTTGAAGAACATATGCAACTATCTTTTTCACATATTATGAAGCACTGGAAAAGAAATCCTAACCAGCCATCAACATCCGGGGTTAAAGCACCAGGAACCTACAGAAACGTGTTACTGCGTTTTTATCCTCCACAGGCATCCATTGGTATGTATTAAATATTGTTCAATATTAATAACTCAAATAAATATATTTCCTTTTTTTTTTATTATTTTATAGATTCACCAAATTCTCGAAAAAAAAAAGTGTACGAGCAACATGAGAATGAAGAAAATCCCTTGAGATGTCCTGTAAAGCTGTATGAATTCTATCTATCAAAATGGTTATTTTTTTATTTCCAATTTAACAAACATTTTTAATTTGTATATTTTTATGTATATTTATACCCATAATTTTATTTTACAGCCCAGAAAGTGTTAAAACAAGAAATGATTTGTTTTACCTCACTCCTGAAAGATCTTGTGTACCTGATAGCCCTGTATGGTATTCAACTTGTGCATTAAATAAAGAATCGCTTGAAAAAATGCTCAATCGAGTTAAAATGGTAAAAGAAATCAATGTAGCTTTGTTATCTTCATAGTTGAGTTAATAGTTTATAAATATTTATATAATAATTATTATTGTTGATGAAATGTTTTAAGTTTTGTAAGACTTTGTAAGACATTTTTTTTAATGTCATATTAATCTTTTTTGAGTCTATTTGTATAGATAATTTATAATTGTTAAATATTGATAATTAGTTGTAACAAAGACAAATTTTATTTTTTAAAGTGTTACCTGAGTAATGTTACTGACATTTTGTGAGTAAAATGTAATTGTTCTTCTTATACAAAAGAGACATGCTAATGTTTATTGTACCAACACATTTTAATTGTCCAACAACAAGTAGGTAGTACCTATTTTTCATATCTGTACAACAAAATAGACCCTTCAAAATGTACTTTTTACTTACACGGTAAAATTTTTAATTAGTTGTTTTATTTAAATACAAAGCAAAATCAAAGAAAACATTTGTTATATTTTTTTAAATATGAACCATCAGTTATTGTTTTTAGGAAAAATCCATGTTTGAAAATGCGGTATATGCGGCTATAACTTATAAATTATGATATTTTAACTTAAAAGTTTAAAATGACAACAGCTATATTATTGGATCAAATAATAAATGAGCAGTATTTTGTTTGTTTGTGAGATCTTTGCATTAAAATACTAATAAATCTGTCACGCAAACAAGTAAAAAAAGTAAAATTATATGTTCTAATGTTGCAATTTATCATTTTTGTTCAATGGTTTTTACTGACGTCTATAATTTTGACGACGATCAATTTCGAGGTTCTTAAGGTGCCCTTCAAAAATATTAATTGGTGTCCGTTGCACTAGGGTAGAGGTTATCAACATGTGTGCCGTGGCTTCCAGGGGCGCGTCGGTTATCAAGGGAACCGTGTCCGCAGTAAAAAATATAAATCTGTTTGTTTTATTATTACCATTTTACATACGAGAGCCGTTTAAATTGTTAACAAAATCGGAAGAGTCCAAAAAGACCCAAAAACGTTGAAAAGTAGGCCTAAAGTATTTTTTTTATGCTACACCTATATCTAGGAGTAAAAATAAATAAATAAATATTTGCTTTTTAAGTTTTTAGATTACGGAATTACTATTGTACTGTTGTAACTTCCGATAGTCGATACCTACAATCAGACAACTTAGGTACTTATACATTGTAAGCTTTCTTATATTCATCAATGAAGTTCCCCCCCCCCCCCCAAAAAAAAAAAAAAAAGGAAGAAGAAAATTAACAAATTATAAAAACGCCGTCGGTTTATTCCAACAATAAATAATAATAGTAAAAAAATATATCTAATATTGCACATCGTAAATAACAAAATTACACACTCCGCATTTCCACCGGCCGTTTGTGTTCATCTATATGATTTTTGCCAGATTTGTAACAAAAGTACTCCCGAATGGAATCTGTAGAAAACTACTAGTGGTAATGATATCCTGGACAGTAAGCCCCAGGACAGTAAACCCATGAATCGCAGTTGTCGTTCTTGACTAATCCAACTCTGCGTAATGAACGAATCGAACAACCACAGAGCGATGTTGCTGCACAGCAAGTATGTGATTATCTGAAGACGCAAAACAATAAAACGTCATTAAATCATCTTAATTGCCATAATACCTATATATCCTCTAGGGCGCAGGCCGTTTGGACGAACCGACCCGAATCGTAGTCCGTTTGGGCGAATAAGATTTAGATATTTGTATTAATAAATAATTAATATATTCTATAATAATGTACATATAGTTATTCATATTATATTGGTATAGGTATAGATAAGTATATTATTATATAGTAATCCACAGTAGAAAAATAATAATTACAATTTTTAAAAATAATTCCACTAGCCCAAACGGTACAACTGATACTCGGCCTAAAGGACTGTTAATTTTTTGGTAAAAATCGCTTCGCCCAAATGACCACCGTCCAAACTCTATTCAGGATAAAAATAAGGCACTGGGCGGCCGACATGTGTGCATAGGCGTTCCGAATGCCAGGTGGTTAGGTGAGCATCTGACCACCGCCGGTCGCCGACCGAGACTTTTCTTATCCTGAATAGAGTATAGCTTCTGCAACGTTGCATTGTTATTTTTTGTGAATTGTACTTAGGATAAGCGGAAATCGGGAGGAAGGATCGAAGCCCTCGCGGCTCACGTTTATGTTAAAAATGTTTGCCTACCCCCTGAAATCGAAACGAATTTCCGCCAATCATTGTACCCATTAGATACTTGTATTTTATTTATGTATATGGGCACATGTATGTGTTCGAAAAGTTAAATATTTAATGTTTTGATGAAATTAAAAAAAAATTTTAAGTTGTTGGTTGGAAATAGCTTTTTTCATTCATACCAATAATACATTCATCTATGATTAAATGAATAATGAATACATATGTATATATTCCTTGTATTAATTACCTACTTACAGACACATGGTTTTCATATAATATATTTTAATGTTAATGTAATATGGCGTAAGCCATCGGTGTGCGTTAGAATATTATAGGGCATGCCAATAAGACTCGGAAAAATGGTGCCAAATTACAAAAGTTCACTGTACCCTCACCCCCCTCCCAACTGGTTCCTCTGAAATTGGACGGCTGGTTGATTAATATGTCTTACAATATAAAATTGTATAGGTTTATAACTTTTATAAAAGTCACCTGACGACCGGGTTTGGTGAACAGTTGATGTCTCGACCACGAGCTTCTCCTATAAGCCTCGGCGGTCAGTGAGCTCTGGACGGCCACTTGGACCAGCTGCAGCACATTGACGGCGGTCAGCATGGCGTCCACCTTCTGTTCTGGGCTGCCAGGCTGCGACGTGGCCACTCCAACGGCGCCCACCATAGTGCTGAACAACGCGTACAGGACGACGCCCGCGCCGGACACTGTGGCCAGCATCGAGTCCAACGCCGTCAGGTGGTTGCCGTTGTGGCACAGCTTGCGGATCTGGTAGAGGCCCACGCAGCCCAATAGCGTGCCGGTGGACAGTATGGTGGCCAGCGTGGTGGACGTCATCCAGAACAGGGTATCCGACGCAAAATCCGCGTCGTCCTTGACCACCAGAAATATGATGACCACCACGATCACCATTACCAACGTCAGCAGGCCGAGGAACAAGCCCTTGTTGGCGCCCGAAAAGCTCACTCCCTGAGACACGTACATCCGGCCCAGCTGAGCGGCCGAGTCTTTTTGCAGGTCTTTGGGCGTTGTTGACGACGACATCGACGACGACGGCGGTGGCTTCGGCATGTTACGTTTCAACGGTTTTATCTGACAGGTGCCCACGTTCTGACCCATAACATACGTCACTCCGGCAGCTATTAAACTGTGATATAACAAATTTTATAATTTTTTTTTTACTTTCTATACCGGGTGATCTATTTTATGTAAGACATTCATTATTTCAAAAGCGGTAATAGTTATTGAAAATATTTTTTTCACTCAATTTTTCTTTTATTGTCATTTCTTTCTTTTTTTTAGTGACAACATGTGTTTTTAATTTCTCATTTCAATTCAGAATATATAGAAACATAAAAATCAAATTTTAGAATAGTAGTTTATGAGTTATAACTTTATAAATATTTAAAGTTTAAATGAACAGATAGTTGAATGATACAGGGGTAGCAAAATGACAGTAAACTACAATTCCACTCATCTAAACCTTAGTTCAGTTTACAGTTGCGGTAGCAATTTTCAGTATTGTCCGTTCACCCCCATCGAGTTGAAGTTTTGAACTTTCCCCCCAGCAATGGACATATCTCACATTAATATAAATAACAAATAATTGTAATGCACGCTTTTAGTCAAGCTTAAATAATATCGTTATGAAAAGTTTAATCGAATTTATATTTTATTACATTTTTCAATGTCGTATTACAATTTTGCTTTTCTCATTATGCCTACATGAATCATACTGCACACTAAAATATGGGCTGAAACGGTTTCAATGATAATAGACGCAGAAGATTAGATATAACTATTATCATGTGAAAAAAAACCTTTAAAAAATTATATGAGCAAGTACGAATCAAATATAAATCAAAAAAAAAAAAACACAAAATTAATATTCCATTTTTGTTAACGTTTGTAATGTATGTCAACTGTTACTGTTTGTAAACAATTCAAAATATTATTATAAGAATAACATAAAATAATAATAATCACACAATAACATGAACTTTTTGTTTTATATTATCGTCAATAATACCGATTAAATTAAAAAAATATTTGACTTACCTAAATTGCACAATGAACGGATATAAATATGGCATAGAAGACGTTAAAAGTTGTCCGAGTGAATTAGTGTTTAAACAATGATGAAGTGTCACTACTTGTGACACGTGGTTCTCAGACACAGGTTGGTAGATGGCATTTCTATACGTCCCGTTATAATCTGTAAATATTTCAAATAGCAGTGCATTATAATAGTATAACTTGTAAATTGTGTAAATAAGGTTAAGCATTTTCCACCTAAAGGCTACAACGTAACTGTAATAACGTTTTCATTGGTTTGTTCGTGAGTTTTTATTTACAGATAGGTAACTATTATACTTGTGGTTGTACCATAATATATTGTCATAGATTGTTAATAATCGTTATTTATAATAGTTTTCATATTTCATTGTGAAAATTGTGTATAAATCGTTTAAGTTTTAGGTAATAAACGCTTAATGTATAATAGTAAGTATAGGTTGTTAAATGTACCTGGATTTAAGTCTCGAGTGTGCCTCGAGGTGATAAAACTGGGAAATCCACGCAGTTGTAAGGGAGTAGGAATACTGGATTCATAAGTCGATGCTGGCATGCCTATGTTCGATGTCTGTGCTAGATGGATGAAGTAAATCCATTCAATGCCGCTTTCCCAGATTACCAACCGCACCCATAAAGCAATGTTTGTGGCAGCTAAATGCATGAATCCAAATCTGGCGGCCAAACCAAACCTTTCTACTAACACCTAAAGGCACACAAGTGATTAGTGAATTAATAAGTATTTTTTTCCCAGGCATATAGGTAGTAGCTATATACGCAGTAGCACGTGTTATCGTGTTATTGGGTAGGTATATATTAATTTTTCATTTCAATTTTTCTGTTAGGCTATTGATCGTCAGAACAATTGTTTCATAATCACAAACATCAAAGTAATTTTAACAGATTATATTATATTATCTAAAGCTGTATCTTATAGATATGACTCAAATCGTGTAAGATGTAGAAAACAAAGTTAATATCTATACAGGAACGATGGTGAATATAATATGTTAAAATAGGTACCTACTTATGTTGTAAAGATAAATGTTTTGAAAAAAATCTCTCATGTTAAATCATATTTAAAGAGAATTTATTTTTCATAAACCGTGCATGATGATTCTTTAATCTTTTTAGCAAGTGGTGCGTGATTCCTGTACATGACGTGGGTACAATGCACGTATCGTCATGGACCATGCTTAGAATATTTTTTCTTTATATAAATATTATGAACATCAACGGATTTATAAATCATACTCACTGCTCGCTAAATTAATATATTATAATGTCACGTTCTAAAATCTTCAATATAATACATTAAAGAACAATTTAACGTTTCAATTTAAATCTATTTTACTACTGTTGTACTGCTGTATACATGTAGGTACAGGGCAGGTAACTACTACAATAGTACAATATAAGTTTTTTCATTCTAATTCTTTCTCTTCACCTATTAATTGTGGGACAAAAGTGAAGTTTATCATCGGCCTCCTCGCTGCCATAGAATCCACCCATGCAATATAATATAATCCACTATATAAACTACATATACCTACCTAGTTTTATAATATCTAACCTTTTGGCTTTTGGTCTTATTCGATTTGCCAAATGGAATGTATATTTATGTAACATATTTCATATATTTGTATGTATATCAATGCAATTTCTCTTCATTTATTTCATATGTGTTACCCATTATCGCATTGTGTAACATACACCGTGGTATAACTTACGAGAATATAATTATATTTAGTGTTCACATAGGCGTGCACTGTATAATCGCGGCAGATGCAGCATATAACAAAATATTGTTGAATATACCTAAATTTGATACTACCGGACACCGGCAAATATTTTTTTACCAATATTATCGATATATTAGTATCAAAGGCACACATCTACTGACTGCTGACACCTATATTATCAAAATATTACTTTGTAATTTTTTACTATACTTGGGTAGATATTATGTACTCGGAAAATAGTATATTTTATTCTTTATCTAGGTATACTTTTAAATAGCACTATAATGTCCAGCAGTCGCGGCCCGTCAACGCAAACTTTCACCAAAAAACATAGATAACAAGATAAGCCATCAGGTGAAAAATAACGCAACAGAGTTATTGTTGTTCTTAACTAATCACAATTAATATTTTGACATTAAAAATATTTTGTATTTTAAAATCAAGTGGGTATAATTAAATAATAATATTTTATGGTAGTAATAATAGTTTAAAAAAACTGGTTTAATATACTCCTTTATTCCATAATATAATATAATCATTTAATTTATGCTAAGTAATAAATATAGTCAATATTATATTATACTATTGTTATATTATATAAATATATTTTGGTCCTGCTGAAGAAATAAATTACTTCGTTAAATAATCAAATTTTACCTGTGAATTTATGAAAAGAAAATGCATTTGTAAAAATGTAAACAGTCCATGCAGTATTGGATGTACGAAAATGACATCGTTTAAACAGCTAATGTCCATCATGGAATACATGGCCATTTCCAAACCGTTGAATACGAGTGTTCCTAAGCCGAATACTGAAACAATTGATAGGTCATCTGATATTATTATTATTTAATAACAAAAATACAAAAATATAAAATTGTAACATACAATAGGATCGCTCATCGAATGTATAACAGGAGAAATTCTCGAACAAAATGCTTTCAGCAGAAAAAATATTTTAGTAGGTACCTACTTAAAATATATTTTTGATTTTATAACTCAAATTTTTTTTTGAAATGTCATCAAACAGCCTTGTACATAAGACAATTATACTATTTTAAATTTATAAATAAAATTATTCGATCATAGGGATTTCTGATTGGTAGGTATTTGAAATATTTTTCGGTATTAGGTACCTATCTATATTCAAAATTATTTATTAAAACGTTTTAAAGGTATGTTTCTGAGACCTCTGTATAGTAGGTATGAAGAATTAAATTGAACGGTGCATAGATAAAATATGTCGTTAATGGTTTTTACAGGATAATTAAACCTAAATACATATTAAATTATTATTAAAGAAACACAAATTTCGTTTTAAATTTGCGAAATAGAGACTATAATATAAAGTATGTGTTTTTTGGTATTAAAATGGAATAGTGACAATAGTGTAAGTTAATTTACCTAAATTGGATATAATCTGCTCATTTTAAACTTACCTAAAGCCCCTACTCTCAAATAGAAGCTTGTGTCCGAAGTCTTTGAACGTGAAATATGCGCACGTTTCAGCGAACTGAATTGTTTCAATGAGTTGAATCGGTTCAATGTAAAGACACCTGGGGATGATGAGCCAGACGTGACGATTTCAGTTTCGTCCGACGTTAAACTGACGCATGAATCGATCAATACCCACACATAAATGCATATAATTACGGCTATGCTTCCCAAGTACAGGTACATAAGGTAAATCCCCTGTATAGACAGTAACTTAACAGGATTGTCCATAACTTCTATCAAGCATATGGCGAACATGAGGATAACCAACACCATACCGTAGAACGAGCTGAGCGTCACCCAACAGTGGTGGCTGTAATAAACATCAAGATTATAATAATATGTTATGCCCGTAGTATATAGTAAATATTATGCTGTAACAGGTGTGATCACATATTACTCAAAAAATGAAATCGATTGCCATAGATGAGGTACTTACAAAGATTCTGTATGTTGTAGCATGGACATGTCCGTCCCTCTACTCGTCAACAGGTTCATCAGAGTCCGACTACTTTTGAGTTTAAGTCCATCGGATCGGCCCATTTTGGAAGATCGTTGGACTAGTTTACGATTTATGTGTGAAAAGTGATCATCAAGACTATCTTGTTCGGTTAATTCACATATACTATGCACTGAAAGTTAAATCATTTTAGAAGTTGAAACATTTATTTTATTAAACGAAAATCTTTGAACAAATAATTTAATTGATGAAAAGAATATCTGAAGCAAAAATATACAATATAATTTACGTAAAGGTATTAGGCATAGGGATGTATTATGTATATTGTATACTTGCGTGTATAATGTTGTTTTATAGTAGGTATAAATGTATAATGTATGTAGTTTTCAAATTAATTTAAAAATGTTCGTTGTAGTTTGGAAGAATATTTAAATAACATTACGTACGTTATTATCGTATACGATATGGTCTTCAAAACGTTATTTTAACGTTTATTAAATTTCATTCAATATTTCTATTTTGTCTAGTATTATATTTTTCAAAGATATGTATTAAAATGTTTAGTAGGTACAAATTGTAAAACGGTTCAATATGAAGAAATATTTTCTTGATTATTTGAATTAAATATTAAATAAATTCTGTGTTGATTTAATGTGTAATTTATATTCTATTATATTGTAAAATGTTGTTTAAGACATGCAGTAGATACTAGATATACTAATTAATATATATGAAAGGCAATACCTAATAAATAATAATATTTACTTAAGTATAAGTAAAAATTATAATGCAATACTAAGTACAGGACAATTGTTTTGTATATTGGACACACAAATCACATACATGTTTGATGTTTTATGTAATATTTTGTTTGATTGTGATTAAACAAATTTTAAAGTACCTATGTATAATATACATATATGAGTATACGTATCCATAAATTATTATTTTAAATGGTAAATAACCATTTGTATTTTTTTAATTTACCAAATATATTAAATTAACTTTTTAGAGTACCTACCTATTTTACTCTATTGATATGTCATTTAAGAATGATAATAAGCTGCACGAACATTTTTAATAATTCCCCCAAAAAAATATCGTTCTTAAAAATCTCTAACATAAGAACATTACCTGTACATTTAACTGTACTGTGTACATGTTAAAATCGTACAATTAAAAATATAAGTTGGTACTTACATTTATGTTTTATATATTATGTATAATTAACAATAATTATTAATTGCTATTAATATTACATTACATTCATCAAGCATGCTAATGCTGGTGGTAATCATTTTTCTCCTTCATTAATGCAGATATTCAAATTATGATTTTTGGAATTTATAAAATATCCTTAAAGACTATATTTTCAAATTTTTAAGATTTGTTGTACTATTTAAAGAGTGCCTTGTGGAAGTACAAACTATTGTTTTTTTTTAAAAGATAACCCACTTTTTCTGCTGTAAATTATTTGGCGGATAATTGTTCTGAAAGTCTTAACTTATCAAAACCAAAATTTGTTCAAACTAGCAGTTTTTGAGTTATTGAACATTATGTACTAAGGATAATAAATTATAGGTCCACGATAATAGGTTTGGAAGAAACCTCGGCTGTAATAATTCAAAAATATTGATAGTTTGTAATAATTTATCAATATTTATAGTTTACAAAAGTTTTTTTCTAAAGTATTTAAAAATTCCAAAAATTAGAATTCGAATAAATGTATTTATTGTATGAGAAAATGAAGCGGTGAGTAGCTATGCTTGCAAGTTGCAAGTGAATCGTCACTCTACATATATTTTATTTTTTTGTTTAAGCTAATAATATAACCACTCGAGGTTACAACGTGGAGTAAACAACGACAATAATATGATGGGTTTTAAAGTTTAGCAGTTTAGCTATGCCGTTAGTGCGACGCGCAGGTCGCATAAAAGACCGTACATAAGAAGAAGCAAAAAATAACGAAAAAAATAAAATATCAACAACACTATATACGGTAGCAGTATTCAGTGCTGATAATGTTCCCTTTCAAAACGAACGTCCGTGCATATAATTACACATGCACATACAAAATATAATATATACACATAAATAAATAATATATTATATATACACACACGTGCAGCCCTGTGCAGCGTTTCCAGTCGTTTCGAGCCTATATTACAGATAGGTAGGTAGCTACTACATTATAATAATATTATTGTGTTATACCACGCGGCGTGCACATATATCACTATGTGTTTGTATGCAAATGTGTATGATTATAATATTATAATATACGAACTCGGCGATGACATTAATCTAGGCATATATCGCGGTTAAATCCGACTATATAGTTGTGCTCGTCGACCCGCGTAGTTCGCAGTGAGCAAGTGTAATAATTGTATAGTATGTAGACTATGCGACGAAATGTAAGTCGTGTACCCGACGAAACAATCTTTGCTTGGCACACCGTATACATATATATATATATATATCGTATACAGAGATTAACTAGACCATAGTCATGAGCCGAGTTGTGTATGTGTATGTAATAATATTATATTTTGTCAAATATATGTCAATAAAACGTACGAGCTGCAAAGTAGGTACCCGCCTCCATTATTATATAGGTATATAATATTGTAATTATAATTATTATGACGGTCAACGGTTTAATTTTTTTTACGGAAAAAAAAAATTCTACTTCGCGTGTTGTTTTCATCATTCCGTAAGTTAATTTACTACCTAGGTATACGTAAAAGTCTATGCATGGTACCATTTTATTCTATAGATTAATAATTTTTCAACTAACCTAACTTTTTATCAAGGTTTATGATATTTTATGTCATTATTTTTTCGTTTTTTTATGAGTAATACCTATCTATACACGGCATTTTAGCACACGTGTATACTTTAATGCCCTACGAAAACCGTAAAAGTGTAAAAGTTTGATCAATATGGCGTACTATATGTACTCTATTTTTATAAAGGCAAATTTATCAGCTTGGACGTATACTTCACAGTTCACTTTAGAAACACACTCTTTCAGGAAATGTAATAATCATCGTGTTGAAGCGACTATATTTATTATTTATGTTCACTTTTCGTTCCGGTTCCTAAATATCTACTTTCCCACATTACAATGATGGAAGTCTGGAAGAGTATTATATAGTTATGGTGATTACTGATTATACGTTATATAGCGGTTTATGTTAATAATTTGTATTGATAACGTAATGTGTTGTGTGTAACGCGGATGAGCTTACACGTAATAATTTGTACCTATTGTTATTTTTACAAGAAAACAAAATATATCATATTAGTACATAATCTTATTACACTGCTGTATTATGATTATATTATAGGAATATAGCTTAGGATGCCTAGCCCCAATCAACATATTAATATCAACAGTAGGGCTAATATAGTTTTATGATTTGGCTCAAGTGAGACTCCAGAGACTCTTGGGTTTTAGATCGGTCTGAAAATTATTCTTTAACAACATGTTATATTACCTACCCCTGAGTACGAGTTTCGAAGGTGACTGCAGCTATGAGAGTTTATGCAGTTACTGCAATTCGTTCCCGAGGGTCTAACTAACGTGCAAATAGAGAAAATTAAAAAACATAAAAGTTTGAATTCGTCTAGTTGTTGTGGTAGTAAGTAGTTGCATTTGTTGGTACTGTTATACTTTTAAGTTATGACTTAATCAATAGTTAAATTATTTTAACAATAGTTTACCAGAATCTAACTTGCATAAAAATATGTAAACAGTTATTCGAATAAAAATGTACATTTTTGTTGAATTTTCCAATGCAAAATATGAATACCTTTCTTCATTTGTGATAAATCCCCCACCGCATAACATGTATATAATTCAGGTAGCCTAAGAAAGTCGGCGTGATTGACGAATAATAGGTGCCGACGAAACTATTTCTTAATCATTTAATAATATTTAAACATTTTATACAACATTTTAATCAAATTATTCTGCTTTGGATTGAGCAATTAAACATAAAGGTTAGGGTACCTACTGTTTAAAAGAAGGTAAGAATTACATATTAGTATGTTAAATTTTCTTCCGAAAGAAAATGTCGAAAAGCGTTGATCTGTTAGGGAAATAATGTGAGTGGTGTCCGGTCTGTATATATTGTATAGCATAACGATAAAGAATTAAAAGTTTAAACGAAAGTTTCAATTCGCGCAATTCAATAGGGTATAGGAATAGAAAAAAAATTAAATAACGTTTTTATGAAAGACGATGTAGTAGCTGGTATTATCGATCTGCATTGATAAGTAATGATAACATTGTAAAATACGATATAATACAAATACACACATAATATTGTACTATAGAAGTCATGTGCGTACAAAAAGTTAAGGCGATTGACATTTGACACGCGTGCAGTGGTATGCAAATGGTATTCGTTGTTGGTTCCGTTGTACAGGCCACACGGGGATTGATTGAATTGTCATTATTTATTACGTAAGTCGGATTTCGGAAACGAATGTGATCGTCCCAGTTCGCTGATACAGAGTCGGGAAAATGGATGCCTAGATGCGCACACACGACTCGTTCGATTTACGCCAATAACGTATGAGTTATGAGTTACGCGAGTACTTATCAGTACTTGTAAATAACTCTGAACTCTTTCTAACTCTGAACTCGCTGACCACAGTGGCGTATTGACGGGGATTAAGGAGAGTGATAGACGAATATAGTCGGGATGTCAGATGTGTATAGGATTGACTATTAAGACGGTTATAATATTTTATACATTTTTGCAATAGTAATGGCTAAAGCAGACATTCTTTTGGAATTAAAGGTCTCTGTGTAAAGACAGGTGCTATAACTCTACATAATATAACGTACAAAGGAGCGTTGGCGATCATTATAAGGCATATAGATTGGGATCACTGAACAATGAAAGATACCTACTGATGTGTTTTAGCTGGTCCTATAAAATAATGTCATATAAATTAAAAACTGCGATCCACGTCAATTAGTTCCAGAATCTGCTATTTCCGTCAGTATTTTTGATATTTCGATGATTATTTACTCGGGTGGTTGTGTGATCACTAATCACTTTACGACCGTGGAACAATCATTAATTTAATTTTAAGCGTTTTACTGGGGCTTATAACATTATTATACATACGATTGGTACCTAATTACACATTTACACCCTATAAGGACCCGGAGAAAAAAAATTGTCGGCAAATACGCCACTGCAGCGAACTCGTGTATGCGCACATTATAACTACTCACTCGTCCAATCGCTATCGGCTGACCCACCTTTAGCGGCAGCTGCAGCGGTGGCTCGGCAACCGTCGGGAGCTGTACCATTGACGCCTTGCTGCGCCAACCTCCAATTCTCACGTCCCACGGCGTCCCGCGTGCCGGAACTCCTGTTCCTGCGGTCGTCACCGCCGGCGTCGACCGCCGCGGCCGCGGCCGTCCGCCGTTCGTGGACGACGACGATCTCCTCGGAGGCGACAGCCGCGGCCGTCGGAGGCTGCGGCGGCGGTGGCGCCGTCGTCGGCGCGTCGTCGACGGTCCCGGCGCGTACCGTGATCATTGCGGCTGTTCGTCTTCACTGGAACCGTAAACTCGCGGCATCGCGGACCGGCCGCAACTATGATGTGATTAAAATACGACGGACGACGGTGCGCACATCCGCGCTCGGTACCGCATGACCCGCTGGAGGGGGTGGGGAGAGGCCCTCTGCGACGCGAAAGTGTAATGCAGTATAATATTATTATAATAATATTTTGTACACTTTATTATTTTGTAGGTACACTGCAGCACACGTGCTATTATTGTAGCGATGGTAGGTATACGTACCCATAATACCGAGACGGTCGATGCAATTATAAAATATTATTATTTTATGGGTACATTATATGCAGACCGGACGATGGTCGTTGTGGAAGTATAATAATACTTCTACAGAATATCGCGTGCACGAAAATTGTATGGTATTAAAATATAAAATACTTACTGTGTATACGATTAATATTAATAATAATAATGATAGGTAATAGTCCGAGTGATGATGTGGTCCCGCCGCTGCCGACGTGTGTCAATATTATAATTATTATAATCAACGGGGCTGCTCCGATACACGTGCGTCTTGTCTGGCACTTTGACGGCCCCCCGAGAATAATATCAAAACGAGATTAATGGACCGCGGCCCGCCGCCAATACACGCCGAAATAATTATATTATATTATTTTTATCATATATTGTACAATAATAATGTATTATAATATATTGTATCACAATATTGTTATATTATTTAATGAAAATGTTATATTATAGTATTAATTTTATTTTTCGCGATATCGTTATGATATGTCTCCGGGACGGTGCCGCATCATTTACTGCTGCAGCGATCGTCGCACGCGACCGGATGGAGCCCAAGCATCATGTGCTCAAGCCGTGTTCCTCTTCCACGCGACCGATAAACCGGTCGGTCTGTATTCTCTCTAATTATTAAACACGGCCTCCTAGTATAATATTAATATATATATTATAGTTTTTTTCGGCGTAGTTTTTACGTTGATATATTTATATGTTTTTTATTAATATATTTTTATTTTTATGTTTGTTTTTATTGACCGAGTCATCGGCACAGACGACTTTCCAACGCGTATATAAATAATATACGAACCTGCCGCGTTGACTTTACGGAACCGCTCGGCACATGATATTATAATTAACCACGTTTACGTCTTATTATTATTGTGTACGATATATATATATATATATATTATAGTACTTACCTAGGCCGTGGCCTACATTTGCGTATGCGCATCACACAGGTATTATAATAATATACAGACGATGATAATCTGTTTTTGTTATTAGAGCCGTCGGGAAGTGTGATCTGTCGACGGTCGTTTGAGAGTACGTTTAAATTATGTTTTAATTTATTATACCTACTATTGTAGACGGCACGCAGCCTGCACGTTTCGTAGGCAGCGGGCAAGAGTGAAAATTACTTTTTATTTTCATCTTGTTTTTTATGGTATTACCATTTACGCACCATTTGTGCGGCGTGTACAGGCCACAGGGTGATTATTTTATAATGGTGGACATCCGTATCGTTGCGAAAAGTATCGACTCGAAAGTTACTTTTTGAAAATGTGTAAGTCACGTTTTACTCTCTTCATTTGTAATCAAGTATCTACTTGCCTATGGACCTATGGTAATTGGAATGAAAAACTCTGAATTTCGAAAATGTTAAGAACTTGTGGTATTTAGGAAAATAATAAAAATATAACTAGGTAACAATATGAGTATCTAACATAACCTAAGTGGGTAATTATAATAAGATTCCTTTAATACGAAATACTAGTGAGATAGATTCGATACTATCGTGACCGAGCGGTAGATAATGATTGGAATCCAGAAAACCGTCGACGACGCGATCAGCCCTGGAAACTATATTTTTTAACTTTTCTCTTAAACTATGCGAGAGCTAGACTGTTGATTGATAGCTCCTTTAAAAATGCTTGTCAATTAAATACAAAATGTGAAATAAAAAACGAGTGAACTTTTTAACCGTTCAAAATTAGGTAGTCGATATTACTAAGATTTTTCTTTAGAGACGCAAATCTCCGAAACTGGAAAACGGATTTTGTAGTTTAAGATCCTGTTAGAATTATATAGCCAGGAGAAGTGTAGAGTTTCAGACCAATGCCTAGTGCCTAAGGTACAATTTGGTTAATCCTAATATTATAAAATATAAACATGTATAGTTAATAATTCCCCAATACTTAAAATTCAAAAATTATACACGTCGACCCCGACAAGGTAAGTGTTTTTTTTTTAGTACATTTTAAAATAATAATCGAATGCTCGAAATTAAAATAATCATACTGTATAATAAAGTGTACACAGTACATACATATATACGTATATTTTTTAGGTATGACCATTCGTAATAATATCACTTTACGATTTACGACTTTCTGGCGCTTTCAATTTATACCCGTACCGGGGTATAGAGACAGGTGTCCGTTTTTATTGATTGGGTCTTAATATATATATATAGAAATCTATTTATAATATGCATATATATATACTATTCCAATTAATCGTTTTCGAAAGGAACATTCGACGCAAATGAAAACTTTGCCCTACTATTGTATAGGTACTACAGATGTAGGTAAATACTAAATTATTAATTGTTTACAAACCGAACGTTTGACCGAATATGCATGTATAGATTATATATTTGTTGTTTTGGCTTTCGAGAATAAGTGCTATAATTCCAGTGGTAATAAATAATAATTAATAATGAAATACCCAAACTCTATCCATCTAAACGACTATTAAAATGTGAGAGTTTAGAATACACGTAGATAAAATAATAATATTATACATACATTTATATTCACGCATTTACATATTATTAAATATTACGCAGTGTCGTCCCCAAAAAATTTCTAAGGGGAGGGGCTGAATATAATACGTTATTTATTGTACATAAATATAGGTATAATAGTATGTTCATTGCGGTACACAAAGATAAATAGATCGTGAGGATTGAGGGCAAGTCGCGTGTAAGAATAAATTAAAAATATTGATTTCTCGAGTTTTAGATTTAAAATCGTACAAGAAAATTAAAATCGTGTATTCATGTGACACATAAGAAAGTGAAAAGAAAATTTTTAATTTCCTAGCAAACTACATTCTTTGCAACTTATTATTAGTGTCGAAATTCTGTCATTCGATATATCTAATTTTACCTATACAGTTACCTATACAATTAACTATTAAGAGTTCGATTTCTATACATAACAAGCATGCATATGGCTCGAACACGGTCATTTTTTTCTGTTGTATACGTGTATATGTGTTTCTTGTATAGTACTGTGTGTCTGTATTATAATACACCAATACTCAGATAGTCTCGTGAATACATCTGCAAAGCCCATACTAAACCGCATTTAATTCAACGCGCTTGACAGTTGACCGCAACCTGAAAGTGGCGATTATACTGCAGTTCCCAATCAATACTTCATTTCATTGTTATTATTATTATTATATACAATTAATAACGAATTACTGCAGAGCAGACAACAGTTGTAGTTGTATCCAACGTTGGATTGAAGGCAGTTTGATTCCCGATTGTCACAATATCCCGTGAATGAAAGGCCCCGCTGCCTGTAGCAAAAATAAACCATTGGGCCATAGTTCATGTATAAATTCATCTAATGATTCACATTTATCGACATAGGATTAAAATCGGATGTCTCCGGGGCACCTGCACTATAAAACCTAACACTCACCTACTAAATAGGCCCTGCAAAAACATTTCAAACATAGCCCCGATATTCGCCAAACCGGCCCTGGTTAAATCATACATATTGTACCAATGTATAAATAAAAAATTATTTCTGTAAGGTCAAAAAAACCCATCTAGTATATTAGTATATTATTATCATATTGATTCCCCAAACCCATAGCCATGAAATGATGCAAATATAGCTGCAGGAACTGCAGCATTTTGTTTTTCCACATTTCTTGTAGTAATATTAGAAACTCCAGACTTAACACGTCTACTTTGATTTAATCCGAAAGTTGTAATATTTTGGTTAGGTTAATTTGGAATAATTCAGAAAAAAACAACTTTTCTTATTTTTTAATTACAAAATGAGATAAGAATAAGAATTAAAAAAAGTATTTTAAAAATATCTATTTCTTTAGATATTCTAGAACCTGCAACTGCATAATTCAAAACTCAACATACTTACCTAATCAATATTCATCAATGATAACCTGTGCTCCGACTCAGAATACAATAGTAATATATGTGAATTGTACCAACACTAATTTGTCAACTAATAAGTTATTATCCCGATGATAAAAAGGTTTAGATTCCATTCCGCGTCTCAGCAGATACGCACATCGCGTGTTCCTATATATTTGTCTCTAAGTACTTACATACTTATTCTATTAAATTGTTCTCTTACTTATATTTTTAAGAACTGCTATCCCAGCAAAAGCTTTGCTTCCTTACTTGTACTTCAATATTGTACACTAAAAGGACATTTTTACGTGGCATTAAACTTATTATTATTATTTATTATAAGAATCATAGCTAGTGTAATATGTTCTATGTTTTATGGCTAACTATACTTGACAACCACAGTGAAAAACCACAGTGAAAAATAACAGAAGTAAAGATTTTAATTTATATTATTGTAGCCTAGCTTGTTTCATGTTTAAATAAATGTAAAAATGTAAAATTAACCGTATACTTAATGAAAAGTATATTCTTATAGTTAAGATGTGGCGGCCGATAAGGAAACGCCGCAGCCGACCTAAGATGCCATGGCAACCAGTGATACCACGGCTGACAAGGAGACGCCGAGGCCAACCTGAGATTCTGCGGTGACGAGTGATACCGCTGCTGACAAGGGGATGCCGCGGCCAATAAGGAGATGCCGAGGCCAACCTAAGATGGCGAGGACATGCCGCGGCCGAACAGTGGTTCCGCGACTGACAAGAGCTGCTGCGGCTGACAAGATCCTGTGGACGACAAAGAGCCCTTGGCTACACCTGTTCTACTAAAATTAAAATATTATAATATATAACCAGTTTCAATAAAGATTTTGTATCCAAGAATTTGGTACTCGAAACTTTTTAAACTCATTTTAACATATGTACTTCATATTAATGGTAAAATCAAAATATGCTTACCTTTGTTATAGGTACTCTTTACATTAATAAACTATTAATATGTGTACGATGAGTCATTAGTACAATATAAATAATGCTCATTTTTATAGATTACGTGGATGAAATTAAAAAAAATAATAATAATCATGATATTATTTTGGAGGCGTTCTTTGAGAAACAATCGAAACCTATATATTATAATGACCATTACAAAGTATATGCATGGCTAAATGGCTTAGATCAACCAAAAAAGAAATTTTTTTCATATATTTTTCACAAATATTAATTGAATTTTTTTAGAGTTATTCATCATCCGGTAATACTTCAGAGAGCATATTTGGGCCAAGGCATATAAGTTGAACAGTGCGATAGGCTCAGATTCTACATCAAGTAGGTATTGTTTCTTTTTCGTAGTGTAAAATATTTTAATTTTCCTTTAATCATATTATTAGATTTTAGGAAGTAATAAGAGTAATAATTGGGGGGGAAGGGTAAGTTAGTATGTACTACTGGTTACACTCATTCACTCATTCACAACCCACGCCATCTCTCGCCACTGAACCCCGTAGTTGTTGACTTTTGATGCATCGCAATTCGCAATCGTTATTAGAATTTATGACTGTATAACTGAAATACGGGATATTGTATTAGATACTTCGATAGGCTATGTCGACATAGCGCCATAGCATAAGCATATAATGT